AGGAAAATGCGAGAAGAATACGGGGAGAATACGAGGAGATAACGAAGAGAGTACGAGGAAAATGCGAGAAGAATACGGGGAGAATACGAGGAGATAACGAAGAGAGTACGAGGAAAATGCGAGAAGAATACGGGGAGAATACGAGGAGATAACGAAGAGAGTACGAGGAAAATGCGAGAAGAATACGGGGAGAATACGAGGAGATAACGAAGAGAGTACGAGGAAAATGCGAGAAGAATACGGGGAGAATACGAGGAGATAACGAAGAGAGTACGAGGAGAATGCGAGAAGAATACGGGGAGAATACGAGGAGATTACGAAGAGAGTACGAGGAGAATGCGAGAAGGATACGGGGAGAATACGAGGAGATTACGAAGAGAGTACGAGTAGAATGCGAGTAACGTAGGAGTTGAGGACGAGTAAACTATTTATATGGCATTGTTTTTTGTAGGTGCATGCCCTGATTTAGACACAAAGTGTCCTCAACTAGCTAAAGAAGGAAAATGTCTCACAGATTCAGCGTGGATGTTAGAAAACTGTAAAAACAGCTGTAAAATATGCTGTAAGTATTAAATATATGCGAAAGTAGCGGTGGAGTTCAAGTTAACAGCGTAAAAATTTACATAAAGTTACAGTTTTCGTAAATGGTGGTAAAGCTAACGTAAGTGTCGAGAGTCAGTTATGTAAGTAACGGTAGAGTTTGCGTCAGTGACGGTAGTGTTGACGTAATTGGCGGTAACGTTAACTTTAGTAACAGTGTAATGAATACTTATATTGTATGATYTCAGATGCTCAAGCCGGGTCTGCCCTTCAACCGTTCGTGTTTGTTGGGTCSGAAGACCAGCACATGTACGCCATAGGGGTCCTTTATGGTGAYGTCCAGTGGAAGTTCCCCACAAACGGCAAGATCCTGTCCACAGTAGCGCCGAGCTACGATGGTGAGAGCCTATACTTTGGCTCTAACGACGGTAGCGTCTACGCACTCAAGGCTGCTACTGGRAAACTRCWGTGGAGTTTCAAAGCCAACGGAGGTGTCGTCGCAGGACCACGAATATCGTTCTCTGGGGTCCTTTATATCGGATCTCATGATAACACCCTGTAYGCTCTTGATACCCTCGCRAATGGGACCATTGTGTGGAAAAGGGACTTGGGAGGGCCCATATTCAGTAGTGTTTCCATAGGGGAAGAAWTTGGTACCGTTTATGTTGGGACYGCTGCGGATAATGGMCCCAGGATATTTGCTCWTAGYGCCAAAACAGGGGATCTGCTATGGGAGTTTTCAAAGTCTGGGAAAATTATGTCATCACCAGCTTTAAGCTCTGATGGAAAGGTAACTTAGTTTATTTGACCATTCATCCATTYATTTGTCATCCCACTAACTCAATTATCMATTCATCCATTGACAGGTTGTCTACTTCTGTTCTCTGGATCATTTTATCTACGCTTTGGACACGACCACAGGAACCCCGATATGGTCACTTGATACGGGTTCTGAGATCGAGTCATCACCTTATATAAGTAAATCAGACGGTACTCTGTACGTAGGACTAGTCAACAACAAACTATTAGCTATTAACACTCTTGCTGGTCCATTACGAGGCACMGTGAAATGGTCCTTGAACACTGGTGGTGAAGTGGTGTCTTCTCCAATTCTTACAGAAAATGGAAAGGTACGGTGTTGCTGTGCACTCTGTTTTTGGTTTGATTTTTGTTTGATTGGGTTGGCTTGGTTTGCCGGATATGCGTTGGCATGAGTATGCATGGGTTGGCATGAATATGCATGGTTGGCATGAGTTGCAATGGGTTGGCGTGGGTTGATATGGGTTTGCATGAGTTGGTATGGGTCAGCATGAGTATGCATTGGTTGGCATTGTTTGGCATGGGTTGATATGGTTTTGCATGAGTTGGTATGGGTCAGCATGAGTATGCATGGGTTGGTATGGGTTGGGGTTGGTTGGCATGGGTTGGTATGAATTGATATGGGTTTGCATGAGTTGGTATGGGTTAGTATGGGCTGACATGGGTTGATATGGGTTTGCATGAGTTGGTATGGGT